CATGAGGTATAAAATTTTGGTACCTCATGGTACCTCATATTACTTAGGTACCATGAAGTACCAAATTTACAATAGAAAAAATGGTACTTCATGGTACCTCCACAAGGACCATAAAATTGCTCCATGGTTGACGACTCGTGTAAAGCTTCTGTTTCTAGGCGCATCTTCTGATCATTGATGGCATTCATTATGGCATCATGATTTATCGCACTCAGGAAAATAAAAGGATAGTCATTTTTAGAAACAAAAAATGAGGCACATTACTTGCCTAGTGTGAAATCATTGTCATGATTAATATTTGTGATGAACAATTGGCTTTGCAAAATGATTTAATCAATGATTTGGTTTGAAAAGATATGTGAATATTGGTGTGAGTGTGTGTGACTAATGTGGGTCAGGTTGTAATTTCTGTGCTTGTGTGCAGCATGCATATATGTGTGGTATACGTGCAGTGTGCATGGTGATGATCGATACATGCATGTGTGCAGCAGCGGCTCGGTTGGATGGCAGGCCGAGTTGGTCCAGGCGGGCAGGAGACTGAGCGGGAGCCGTACGAACGATGCGTGTCAATGGTGGATTGGCACGTGAAGGAGTCCGATGCGTCCGGCTGCGGATTTGTTTTAGTAAATTGTGAAGATTTGGAATACGAGGCATTGAGTCATACTGTGAATAGGAGACTTTGAGTAGGGTTTTTTTATATATAGAGAGGAAGCGTGAGGCTTTCCGGTATCACTTTGAGAGCAATTAAGTTGATAGTTTAGTTAGGGTTTCGAGTTCAGTCGAGATTTTTGTAAAGAGTGCTATTGTTACACTTTGTAAACACAGAGAGAAACAATAAAGTTGTCATCTACTTTTGAGACTTCTTCGATTTGTGTTTCTTCGGGTTCAGGCGGCAGGGAGGCGATCTAACCGGCGGCGTGCGAGCGGTCCGACCGGCAGCGTGCGAGCGGTCTGACCGGTGGCGACAGGACTACATCGAGATTTCATCGATTTGAGGGTAACTTTTATTTTCGCTAAAAGTTTTTGGGTTTTTGTTTTCCCTACCATTCACCCCCCTCTGGTAGGTTTGGTTACTTGTGTTCGATTCTACATAGAGATCAGAGATTATTTGCTTACATGAATGACCTGAGCATCATAAAATCACTTCAGAATGCTGGATTCTTCATCTGCTTGGTCAGAGGAACGGTGCTTCCCGTTTCTATGCCTGCACATATCTGATCTTGTTGAAGATCATTTAGAGCCCCAATATTCACATCAAAGACAATTGACTGACAATATTTGATGCAGTGCGAACAAACCCATCATGTCCCTGAATTTAACAAAATATCCTCTGCTGAGTGTCTTTTATAGTACTTAGATTGTTAGGGAAAGCTTTGCGTATCTGCTGATGATAGCTTTTCTTCTCTATCGTCCCATGTGCGATCAGTTTATATATTATTGCATCTTTAGTTTTCCGGATTCGCCGTGCCCATTCCCTAGCCTAATCCACAGATAATTTAATCTGGTAAGTATGATAATTCAGATACAGATGCAAATTTGAAGAGAAATTTACTACTGAAAAAGTGAAAATAGAACTCCATATAAACCGAAAATTAGCAAACAAATAACAAGGCAATGCTATAGAGCATAATATGAGCAAACCAAGATCAAACTATTCATCTGCTGGGTCATCTCTCACTGCCATCCAATCCGGGAAAATATGTAGTGCAAACTGTTGGAATTAATAGATGGGCTAAGGCCCATTCGAAGATTAATTCTTTGAAAAATCACAAAAACTCACCTCATGGGATGGCATACATGTGGAGTTTAGTACCACCTTGCTTATTCTAGAAGAGGGGGACCTCCTTAAAAGGGAGGATGCCCTCCTAGCCATTTGAAGCATGTGTGGTGGAGAGAAGAGGGGGAACACACTCGCTCGCTCGCCCGGCCGAGCAGGCGGCGCGCAGACGACGTACGCGTCGAATGGTCAAAAAAATTGGCTCCTCACCCTTACGTAGATGTAGGCTCCTTTTGCAGTTTTGTTTTACTGCAGGAAAATTCGGATTTCGGATTTGTTTTGTTGTTGGAAACATTCCGAAAAATCCGGTGCGTGAAAACGGCGTGGAGTCCGGATAAGTTACGCGCGACTTATCCGGCTCGGTTACGCAGAGTGGAGATCGTGCGGGCGCCCTGATCAAGCGACCTATCTCTATGTAAACCGTGCTGCCGCCTTCACGCAACACGCGCGAAATCAATCTAGGGTTTGCCTCCTCCTCTGTGTTGCGCCATCGCTCGTGGACTACTCCATCCCGCTCGCCAGCGTGTACCGGTGATCGGGAGAGCAGGTCTCCGGAACCTCTGCCTTCGACGTCCTGCACCGGGAGAAGGCGGCAATAAGGTTTTTGGGAAGCGCTTCGCGCGACTGCTCCCTGTTCGTCCGCGACGGCTCGCCTTCCTCTCCGCTCGCGTGCTGCGCGCCTTCGTCGACGCTCGCAACCACGAGTAGTTTCTGCCGAGCAACCGGTCTTTCCGCCACCTCGGTACGTGTTCGACATGTTGCGCATATTTGATCTGTTCATGTTTTACTGCTTAGTTTACATGTGTAGATCTAATGATGCGTTAATGCTAGTATACATCTGTAATGTCATGATTTATTTATGGAATATATTAAATCATTATATGCCTATATTCTCAACACAAACCACATATGTAGTAGAAACTTGGAAACTACCGTTAGATCGTGAAATGGACGCCCGAGATCCGTCCACGTCACCATGAGTTAAAATTTAACTCGCAGATTCACTCATGAGTTAAAATTTTACTGGGAGTTAAATTTTAACTCATGGTAACGTGGATGAATCTCGGATGTACATTTCCCGATCCAACGGTAGTTTTCAAGTTTCCACTACATATGTGGTTTCCACTACATATTTTCCCATCCAATCAAACCTATGCATGGCGGTTAGAAATTTTGCATCTTCACCGCAAAAATTGCAAAAAGAAAAAAATTCATCTTACAAATTTAAAAAGCTAAGCGCTAATGTCTAGGCGCTGCCTCCAAACAACGGAGATCCGACCGTGTGCCCATATAGGCATCTTTTAACATTTTTTTTATGCAGCTGATCGGCAGGGGGTCGCCTGCCGTGTGCCCTCGTAGAGCAATCTTTTCACTGCTCTGTTCTTTCTTTTTTTTTTTTTTTGATTCAGCTAACCGGCAGGGGGTCGCCTGTCGTGTGCCCCGCGTAGAGGCAACTTTTCACTGCTCCGTTTTCCCTTTTTTTAAGCATCTTTCCCATCCTTGAGGACGTACCATGAAATACAAGGTATCATGAGGTACCAATTTAAACTAACCATTGGTTTAACAGGGGTATGATTAGGCTAACAAAAATTAGTTCTCTTTCACGTCGCCGTCGCCCATCGAGCGATGCCCGACGCCGTCATCGCCCATCGAGCTCGCCGCCGCCGTCGGGCATCGACCGCCATCATCGTCTCCCATCGAGCTCGTCGCTGGCCATCGACCATCGCCGCCATCGCGCATCGAGCCCGCCGCCGCGCATCCAGCTGCCGCCGTCACGCATCGAGCCCTCCGCCGTCGTCGCCCATCGAGGTTGCCACTGCCGTCACGCGTCACGCATCCAGTCGCCGCCGTCGCACATCCAGCCCTCCGCCGCCACTGCCTCTGCCGTCGCGCATTGCCGCTGCCGCTGTGCATTGAGGTCGCCGCCGTTGACCATCGAGCCCACCGCTGCCGCTGTGCATTGAGGCCACCGCCGTTGACCATCGAGCCTCGCTGCTCTCCCTGATTTTTCCTCTCGTGAAACAATAAAGGACAAAAATACCCTTCCACCAATGGTACCGTTTGAAAGAGGAGGTGCAGTACCATGAGATTAACTGTCAATGGTACGGATGATTTCTTGGATGATGCTAGATCAACGGTACGAATGATCAACTGTCAGGATTTGGTACTGCACAACCTCAAGGATAGGAAAAAACCTTTTTTTTTTCAGCAAGAACGGTAGGGGGTCGCTTGACCGTGCGCACTTAGTGCGATCTTTTCGCTGTTCGGTCGGTGTGGGTGCCTCCGGGTAGGCGATCCAGTATCCGAAACCCGAGTTGATAAGCTGGTACTCCGCTCTCAGAATTGGCGATGTGGTACAAAAAAAATTTGGATCACCGAACCGGCGGAGGGGGGCGCTGCCTGAGCTCGATGCAGAGATAGAGGACTCGATGCGAGGAGCATACACATACCTGCCCTGGCGGCCGGCGAGCCTGGACGGAGTTGGAGGCTGAACCGCCTCGCGCCGCGGCTGGACACCGCCGCGATTCGTCGCCACGGCCGCCGGTGGACGAGGGAAGAGGTGGCTGCGGGGAGGAATAGATGGAAGGGGTCCGAGGGGATGCCAACGACGAAGAGGTTAAATTCTTCAGAGTGGGCTTAGGCCCAAAATGCCCTTGAAATTTGTCCAGAAAAGAGAGATTTTGAGGCCCAATCTAAAATTCGCGGTAGCAATTACAATTAGCAAGTATTGAAATCAACCCCTATGAATTTTGCTTCCCTCGTCTTCGAAAATAAAGCTTAATGGTTCAAAAAAAAAAGAAGAGAAAAAAACAAAGCCGTCATGTGTTTCATAGGCTGTACTGAGTTTTGATCAAGCTATACCGATTTGACGTACAAACGCACAGAGAGATAGTTCTACTTTTACCAAGCCATCCATCAAAATATGTTTTGTAATCACACGCACATGTAATTCATCGCATCAGATGGAAAGTTGCTGTGGGATTCAGCGCCATTTTTAGTTATAGTTTTTTTTGTGGCGGTTTATTTGTAGAATAAATTTTGTGAAAGCGGTTTAAAATGTCAAAAATTCAGGTGATTTCGATTTTTGCCAAACAAAGCTGAGAATTTTTGTAAAAAAGAAAAGCTGAATTTTGTCGAGCACATATGACATGAGCCATGACGGAGACGGGCCGGGAGCACGACGTGGCCGTCTTGCCGCCACCGAGCTGGGCCATGGCCCATCTATCAGCCCACCACACACGCACGCAAACGATATCGAACAAGCAAAGCGGTTGGTATAGCAGCGGCGGCGGCGGCGGCGGCGGCGGGCGTCGCCGGCGAGCAGAGCGGAGGAGGGAGGAAGCGCGCGAGCGAACGATGGAGGCGGCGGCGGCGGTTACGAGGTTGTCCTTCGTCCCCCTCGCGGCGGCTGCGAGGCCACTCCTCGCCGGCTTCATGCGCCCCCGAGTCTTCGCGTCCATCTCCTCCTCCTCCTCCTCCTCTCCCTTCTCCGGTGGAGGCGGAGGCCACTTCTTCGGAGGCGGAGGCGGACGCGGTAGGGGCGGCGGCGGAGGCGGAGGCGGAGAAGAATACGGTGCAGGTGCTGCTGCAGCGGCCTCCGCCGCCGCCGCCGTGGTTCTCGGCGAGACCGAGACGGCGGACGCCGACGTCATCCTGCTCCGCGTCGGGGTGCGTAATGCTCGTTCCGGTTCGCTCTCCATCGCCGCCGGTTGCTCAGCTCACTGCTTAGTTTGATTGCAGGGGATGTCGTGCGGTGGATGCGCCGCGAGCGTGAAGCGGATTCTCGAGAGCCAGGTTGTTCGAGGCCCTCATCCTTAATTAATTTCTACAGCATTTTTTTTCTCTTCTTTTGTTCCTACATAGTAGGACAACGATTGCAGATTTGTGTTTGAATAGATTGGGGATTTTTTTCCCTCCACATCAAATGAAGGAATTTATCAAATGTATTCAAGCTTAGTTAGTGCTTGCTAGAGCAAGGACCATAAGAAAAAAAGAGTCATTGTTCGATCAGATTAACTACTGTGGCCAGGAATGGGAACAAACGCTTTCTTTGTAGTGCAGTAAACTCCTGTCGTTAATTAGTGTAACTTTTTCTGCTACTCCAAGAATCCTTAAAAGCAGTTTCTCTTTTTCACCGAGAGGTGAATACTGAAGACATGTTGCCGTGATATTCTTAATGTGGGTGTGTGTTCACGCCAAAATTGGAAGTTTGATTGAAATTGGAACGATGTGACGGAAAAGTTGGAAGTTTATGTGTGTAGGAAAGTTTTGATGTGATGGAAAAGTTGGAAGTTCGAAGAAAAAGTTGGGAACTAAAATAGGCCAGTATCATGTTATCAAACTGCCAAAGCTACAGGGCAATGAAATACATCGTCATTGGGGACACCAAACACCTGACATTCTTTGAACTTGCTGTTGCGTAGTAGTTTTGTGCTTTGCTTCAAATAACGCAGATTTACAGCTTTTGCATATCTGGGGTTCTGAATGCATCTTCTGTCTGAATTTAAGAAACCACACAAACGTTTGTTAGTACTACTTGGTAAAAAGAGACATTCTTTGGATGAACAAATTGTAAATTTGCTTAATTCAGAACTATGTGTTTGCTATTGAATTCATGTTTTAGTGTACATATTTTCCTCTTATCTGTTGTGCACTACACTCAACCTTTCACCTTTTATAACGCCCGCTTTCACTTGTTATCTCTGTTTACGTATTTAATTACATGGTGTGCAACTGACAATTTTTTTACTTACTTTTGTAGCCTGAGGTTACTTCTGCCACAGTCGACTTTGAGAAAAAAACGGCTGCCGTGTGGACAACACCTGAAGCCAAGGCAACAAAAGACTGGCGGAAGCAACTGGGCGAAAAGCTTTCACATCACCTGAGCACTTGCGGATTTCAGTCTCATCTGCTTGGTAAGCAACTGCATTTTCATTTCTCAAGTTTTAGACGACTACATGTGATCTAAATTTACAGGGTCCTGGTGCCACAGCCCACAGGTAGCTTTTTTTTTTTTTGTAGTACACTCCCCGGTGGATCTGAATAGTTACATTATGTAAAAAATGGAATTACTCCATCAGCACATGTAAACACACTATCGGAAAAAAAATCTGCACATGCAAACACACAAAATGGCTTGGTCTTGCAGACTCAAGTAGGTTTCCTTCCTGTTTGCAGATGAAGAAGAACCTGATTCTGGATCTCAACAGTGAGAACCCTTGCAGTTTTACAATCAGAGGGTTCTTGAGAGCAGTACCTACCTACTTACCCTTGTGGAAGTTATATATCGTCTCTGAAAAAGTACATTCTGTTTGAGAGTTTTGTAGGTCTCAATCACGATTTTGTTCTTGAATCCAGCCACTGACAACTACAAGGCCTAGAGATTATGCTCAAATCCTTATACAGGAAATAGAGAAATTTCTTTTGGATTTAAGGTTCAAATACAGAAGTAGAATTCGATCATTGTATATTGTCACTACCGATATCAATGAACATATATTGTCAATCATGAAGGCTGATGAGTTTGCAACTGAATTCATTTGAGTTTTTCGTATCACAAGATACCCATATAGTCATTTCAAATGTACTATATGTGTGTGATGGTAGAGATATGTCTGAAAAATACAGTAACCTTACATATTTGCTTTTCTACTTGAGCTGCTTTCAGGAAGGCTGATCTGTCTAAAAATGTTACGGATTGTGAATTGTGATGGACACTTTCTTATAAATGCTTTGCCTACAGTACTACCTCTGTTTTTTAATAGATGACGCCGTTGACTTTTTCTCACATGTTTGACCATCTGTCTTATTCAAAAAATTTATGCAAATGTATAAGATATAAATAACGCTTAAAGTACTATGAGTGATAAAACAACTCATAACAAAATAAATTATAATTACGTAATAAATGTATAAGATATAAATAACGCTTAAAGTACTATGAGTGATAAAACAACTCATAACAAAATAAATTATAATTACGTAAATTTTTTGAATAAGACGAATGGTAAAACATGTAAGAAAAAGTCAACGGCGTCATCTATTAAAAAACGGAGGTAGTACTATTTAAGTGACCGAAGGCTTATGTGATCTGCATAATATGATTGACCAAGTCCAAGACGAACTAAAACATAACAGAAACAAGACATATAGAGGTTTGGCACTGGTTTGCTAAAAGAAAACAGCTACTTTTGGAGTCGATACGTCGAATGCCATATTTAAGGAAAGAATCCTGCTGTACGTCCGACCCCATCGTCGAACCGCTATCCGACCTGCCTCATCTGCCAATCATTGCATTCCATATGAGCCTGCTTCTTTCCATGTGGGCTAGGGCGAAGTGTTCGTCGGACACAAGTAGTACATACAACTATAGCAATTTACTAAAGGAAAATAGCTTCTCAGTTATAATTGAAAATTGATTAGAGTACCTTTTGATGAGATAGCATTGGCACACTCACTGCTCGGGGCATGACAATATTGTTTTTCCATGCTAGGCAGGTGAGGGACATAATTAGGTTATTTTTGTTTTAGGCTTATTAGCTTGTACTTTTAAGCCAACTTTTTAGCTTATGTGATTTATAAACCGGTGACTTTAAAACTGTTTAATGGTGGTGTCCTACCTCCGCTTCAAATTAGCTTTTGACTTAATAGTACAAAAGTGGCTTATAGCTCTATAATAAAAAGTTAAATAAAAAGACTACCTGTTTGTTTAGACTTAGACTTTTCGATCTATAAGTCGGTATAAAGGCCTAAGCAAAAAGAGCTGTAGGGCTTACTAATTACTCCCTCCGTATCATAATATAAGGGATTTTGAGTTTTTGTTTGCAACGTTTAACCACTCGTCTTATTCAAAATTTTTTGAAATTATTATTTATTTTATTTGTGACTTACTTTATTATCTACAGTACTATAAGCACAACTTTTCGTTTTTTATATTTGCAAAAAAAATTGAATAAGACAAGTGATCAAACGTTGCAAGCAAAAACTCAAAATCGCTTATATTGTGGGATGGAGGGAGTAGTACAAATTTAAAATATTCAAAATAATAACAATAATAATTCAAATAAAAAAAGGGGAAAAACTGCCGTTTCCCTATTTACCGGCTCAACCAGCCCAAGGGCTCAACGAAAGCGCCGCCCGCCGCCGCGTCATCTCTTCTCTTCTGTTAAACCCCCTCCGCCACCGTCGCTGCCGCCGCCGCCGCCTCCGGAGCCCGAGACGATGTCGCGCCTCGGCCGCTACGGCCCACCGGCGGTCCGCGACTCCTACTCCCTCCTCGTCCTCAACGTCTCCTTCCGTAAGTGCACTGCCCCCGTCTTCCCTCCTCCTCCGCCTCGCCGCCGTTCTTGCTCATGCCATGTATGTGTCAATGCCGCCGCCGCCGCGGACGCCCGCAGGCACGACGGCCGACGACCTCCTCGCGCTCTTCGACCGCTGCGGCGAGGTCCTCGACATCCGCATCCCCCGCGACCGCAGGTGAAACACCACCACCACCTCGACCTCTCCAGTTGGGAGGAGGTGTAGTTTTTTTTATTAGGGATTTGGGGATGGATTTCAATTTCGCTCATGGCCCGTGTGTGCAGGACTGGGGATTCGAGAGGGTTCGCGTTCGTGAGGTACAAGTACGAGGACGAGGCGCAGAAGGCCGTCGATAAGCTCGACGGTGAGTCTAAGGAAAAATATATATATTTTGTACTATGTTTGGTTTACCGAGATAATTCTCATACTAGTGTGTTTCACCGTGAAATTTTCCTCTTTTTTATTTCGGGTACAGGGAGGACGGTGGATGGGAGGGATATCATGGTGCAGTTCGCCAAGTACGGCCCAAATGCTGAAAGAATGTAGGAATTCCCCCCAACGTTTTTGTCCGTGTGTCGATTGCGCTACTGCTTGTTGAATCTGCCAACCTTTCTGATGCCTTGCTGTGCTGGTGTTTCTAAAATTCTGCGACGGTTATTAGTTCTTGATTGCATACAGTAGCAACCATTGTTGTTATATAGAATCTGAGTGTTGCCGTGTTGGGCTGCACGTGCAATGCCAAACAAATTTCCTGATTTTCTGCAGTGGATCAAAGAAGTATCTCGGTTAAGCGTGTATAGCATGTAATGCTGTGACAAGTTCACTGCGTTTTGGATGTTTCTTTGACGATAGTCAGATGTTAAACCATATGCCTAATAATTTGATTTAGTTGCCAGTCTTATCTTATGGTGTCTTTTCTCAGCTTTTGGTCATTTCTCATTGACAGCTTTTACACTCTTTTTTTCTTTTTCTTTTTCTCTCTCTTTTTTTTGGTGGGATAGAACTTTTATAATTGGGCCCTGCTTTACCAAACAAAAATAGTGTAATGAAAATTTGGGTGCTCTGCAACATACCATATCTGGTCAAGAAGTACCATTTCAGTCTTCAAAGCAATACTGACATCTTTTACACTAAATTTAGCATGGGTACTTTTTTTCTGCCAGAAAGAAAATATGTTGTAGGAAATTATCGGTTACAATTCTACACAAGAATGTGCATGTATGAAACACTCAGAAGTCAAAACGATTTCACACATTACATTTGCCTTTCTGTTTGTGTTTGCAGTCATAAGGGGAGGATTGTAGAAGAGATTTCGAAGCCAAGAGGCCGATCCAGAAGTCCTAGTCCAAAACGGAGGTAAATTATGTAGAGCAGTCCATTTGGATTGTACAAATGGCATATAGTTTGATGCTCAGCAGATGAGATCAAGAGGGTGGCCTGCAGCCTGGTCCTCATTGGGCTTGGCTGTTTTATTAGGAAGTTTGCTTGTTTGTTGGGCTAGATACATGCCACATGGGTTCTAAGTGCGTGTTTGATATAGTTAAATTGTACCAATATATATCATTGTAACTAGGTAATTGACCAGATTTATCAGGATCGTGTCCCACGGTATAAACTATGGCACATGAAGGACACACATCCCTCAATTTCCCATGCTTTTAAGTCCTGCATCCCAAGTCCCTGTCCCTTGAGTCCTTGACCTGATCAACCGACCCTGGGCTCATGGTGACTTTGGATATAGTCGTACAGTCATGACAATACATTCTATTAATTTCCATGAATATATACAGTAACTAAAATTACAGTTGATCTATGTCTCTTCAGTTGAAACAGTAACTCATGTGCTGAAATTACTAGACAAAGTTATTGAATTTGGATGGGTTCTTTTTCAAATTTCTAAATTTGCTATTCCTATTTTGTGATGGTGCTCATTTTTTGTGAAGGTATCGTGCTGACTACCGAGACAGGGGCTACCGTGATGACTATCGGGACAGACACTATCGTGATGACTATCAGGACAGGGAGTATAGGAGAAGCCGAAGCATAGAGAGGTATGAACGTGAGAGGTATCAAGAAAAAGGCTATCGTCGCAGGAGCCGGAGCATTAGCCCTGATTATGACAGGAGGCATCGCAAGAATGGGTATGCCTGTGGAGATGCTCTCCCTGTTTCGTTTTTGTCATACTTGACTGCATCCATGTTCAAACTATAAATCATTTCATCAATTACGATTGACAGTCAAAGCAGAAGTTACTCACTTACAGCTTCTCCTAGCAGGCCCAGGGATGAACGTTCTCCACGCTCTCGAAGCCCTTTGACCTAGCTGAATGCCCTACACAATATATCATAGATAGCTTGAGGTTTCTAAACAGTTCTCATTACCTCTAATGTTCTTGGCCTTGTCCAACGCGTTACTGATAAAGCTGCCGCTATCTTGTAGGATGAATAGACCGGAGCCTTGTCTGCTTGCTTAGGACGAATACTGATAATGGTGTAGTGTTCAACATGGCTGCATTTGAGCATCCAAGGCTGCTTCCTTGTTAACAAGACAGCACCTTTTGAGAACAATGTAGATTTCTGTTATTTTTTGTATCTACTTTATTTCTTATATCCATGTCAGTGCTATTTTTTCCCTCAATTGAGTGCTTATTATAGACTGTAATTTGCATGATGGAGCGAAGAGGTGTTGGTTGATAATTGCTCCGTATGCAAGTTGCTGTCATGATCTTGCGGTTGACGGACCATGTTGATGCTAAACACCTTGATGATGATTTTGGTGATTCTGAGGCTGATAATTTTGCTGCCCGATTTCATCCTTTCCTGTATGGGTTTTGCAAAGTAGAGGTTTAACTGTCAGATCATTTATACATAGTATTTGAAGTGTCTTGCTACCATGAATATGACCCTCGTATTGTAGTTTCTATCAGCAGTCCTGTTTGTTCTGTTAATTTTCCTTTTGTTCCTTACATGCTAGGTATCCTAATAGGCTTCTTTGTAGCCCATGAATTATCTAGGATCCGTACAAATCATCTGATGCTTAATGATGAGGCCTTAATTTTGATTCATGTGCAATGGATCAGGTTTAGACTGGCAGAGTAATATAAGGATCTTCTGGCCAGGTTATGTGGATGGTATCTATGGTACTTAATATGTCCAGAACATTGTTGCCTGTTGGCCAGCAGTGCTCCAATCTAGATAATGGTTTGAATCTTCCAAAAAAAAAGATAAGATAATGGTTTGCACATGTGTCTTGCACGTAAAGTTATGGAACCTGTAACATGTCCAACAGGAATGTGATTTGGATATAACAGTATGAAGCAGATTGATTCTCTCTTTCGCAACAAGTATTACATGCTGGAGTACATTGTTATCCACTTGTTTAATTATTACACTTAACAGCATTGCAATCTTGAAGGGAGGGTGCGCTGTTCTTGTTAGCATTGCTACTCCGTCCATTTTTTTAATATTATCATTTGTTTTATTCAAAATTTAATGAACATTGCAACAAAATAGTAAATGACATATATTTTTTATAAGGTGAATGGTTATTATGTCCAAAAGTCAATAACATTAGATATCTAAAAATGGATGTAAAAGGTTTTAGGCTTGAATACGGGTATTAAGAGAGAATGAAATTAAATGGGAGAATATTGTGATTGGTTGAGAAGAGAAAGTAGATGATGAATTTAAATGGTGAAAGATTGTGTTTGGTTGAGAAGGAAATGTAGGTGGAGAAATTGTTATATTTTATAACATTTTAAATACGTTTTAGAATGGAGGAAGTATTACTTGGTTCACCGCCCTAGCACCACATAAATTCAAGAAAAAAAATGTGATGTGTGGCCTGTGTGCCAACTGCCAACTGGGTACCATCCCACTTCAGGAGCTTTGCTGACGCGCGTGATCGTGTTCACCAATCGAATTTGCTAACCCGCTGTTAAACTAGCTAACAAAACCCATTTTTACTTCTAGCAGTCCACGGTCGCTTCCATCCTAAAATAAAACAAAATACTACGTGTTGAGTGGCTACTGACGTATTAACCTACAATATAGCCAGGATGGATGTCCAATTGCAATTGGTCAAGCTAATAATAATTAAGAAATCTATGCTCTATCCAGTGATTCCAGTCTATCCAACTTGCTAAACTAATCAGGGCCAACTTGCATACAACATTATTGGACCGACCATTTACGTCTTCTAAGCGCATTCAGCAGACCACAGCCACTGAATGACTGACATGTCCATAACCACTGAATGACTGACATGTAACACACCCCAGCAATCATTTAAAACAGAAGTACAGAGTTGGCTTGTTTTAACAACATGAAATGGTGTTAGTTCAGAAAATAAAAATAGTTAGCTGAAAACAGAAAAAAAAAATCTATGTTTGAGATTACACAAAATGTGAGTGAGAACAGACACGAATGGCCACGGCACAGACGACCTTCTCAATAATTAAGATACAAAGCTAATGGTCAAAAGCCAATCTAACTTGTTAAATTGGTGTTACAAGTTTGCCTGTACCTGACTAATCGACTAGAGTAGTAGTACACACTACACAGCTGCTAACTGCATGATCGGATCAAAACGGAGAAAGGTTTGCAGCAACAAGTACAATATTAACAGTCACAGTTGTTGAAGCTTCATGAGATAACTTCAGTTGTTTCTGCAAGATTTTGCATCCATGGGGTCTCCCTGCCCTCTTGGTGAATGTACAGATGAAGCATGCATCACTCTTTGGTTTTTAGCAGCAGCCTGGTGGTTATCATTCTGCATGGCAACAAAGAACTCATGACTTTGCTAGCCATGGGAAGTATGACAGCAAACAAATCCGAGCAGTGAGTTAAAATGGAACATAAACTAACATGTGACTTTAGTGAAGCCGCTTCATCAACAGCTCCAGTGACATGCTCTGATGGCTGATGGAAAAGCAACAGAGCTATGGACCGATCAATTGGATTTGTCTGTGTCTCGATGCTCCCAGGATCAACAAACCTACAAAACAGGAATATCAAAGTGGAAAGGCAACATATAGACAAAGCGGCCTTCTTACCTGTGTTAAAATTTTAAGTAATGTAAACAACAAATAATCTTCTATCTGAATAATAGAAGGGTAACATCTAATAAGGCAATAACCTAGATCTCACCTAAATGGTCAAAAAGGTTGTGTTTCAGTAGAATTGCTAAACGAGCTTTTTTTTAAACACATCATAAAAAAATCAATCCTCAAAATGAATCAATTAAGAAAAATAGTTCGTTTAAATAAGATTCAACACTTCATAATGATATAAGGTAGTAGCATGTGGTCAAACATGCATAAGTGGCGATATTTGGATAGCACAGACAAGTTTGCAGGTCAAACGATATGAGAAATGTATTTCACTGGAAAATGCCAGTAATAGAACTCATAAATATTTTTAACAATTAGAGAGGTACAAAGAGCATGTTTTCTGAGAAATCAACATACTTTCCCGAAGTTTCTGCATTTTGCATGTCCTTTACATTGTGGCTATCTCCATTGTTGTTCATTGTATTTGGGAAGACTTGCCTATTCTGCGCACTTCTTGCCAGGCGGTATAACCCATCTCGAATGCACATTTTTGTTTTCACATCCAACTGAAACAGCAAGGAAAAAGAACTCAGTAATGCAAAAATATAGCTTATATCCAAGATGCAGGTACAAATATGAACTTTAGTTATAACTATGTTGCGCTATTACAGACCATGAATGTAATCAATCCCCAGGCTATGATTGTTTTTTTAAGGGAGCTATAATGTCAAGACATAAGGAGGTAGTAGTGGGAACATCAAGGAGAAAAAGGTCGCTAGAATTAAATTACGAGCTGGAGGAAAGATATATCAAATATGTAGTTCATGCACAACCATAAAATGGACCACATTGCAGAAAATAAACTGCTATACCTGACTAACTGCATCCTGAAGCTGCCGAAAGCTGTTCTCTTCAACTGAGTTATCAGAAGAAATAGACGATACGAAGGACCCATCAACTACCATTGAGGTGCCCATTGCAACATCAGAATGACCCAAACCTCTTTTTCCTAAGGACCTCTTTCCAATTTCATGATTCTCACAAGGATATGAAGCCCTTCTTGTCAATGTTTGATGACCAGGATGTCCAGTCACATTATCACTGATAAGTTGTCCTGATGCCGAACTGGCCACTTTCTTCTGCACTGCACTCAATACAGAGTTTTAAACGTTGAATAAGATAATTACACCACAAGGAAGGAAAACATACTAGAAAGCATTCCGTATGACAATTTTGCACATATAATACCCTTCAAGTTTCTCTCTGCAAAGGAAGCCCCAGATGGAATGATCTGGCAATTTCTTTCTGGATAGGACTCAGAAGTTATGTTACTTGGTGAAGTTGAATCCAAGTGGTTCTTTTGGTTCAATAAATTCTGAGAAGAGCTTAGTTGAGAACCTGAAGCTATAGAAAACTTCTGATCTTCAGGCTGTTCCATGGCATTTTCCGATGAATATCGATTTCCAATCTGCGTAAAGATCATCACAATAAACCAGAAGAAATCAAAATTTATGATTTACTGGGAAAAATCCATTCTAATGGACATCATTCTACCAAGAGAAAGTTAAGTAATAGTAATAGGTGATGTTACAGGCCTACTCGCATACCTAAAGCTGCACTACAGAAACAATCCCATAAAAAATGCACTATGAATATTGATGACAACTAATGCAGTTAGGTAGTTACTGCACTGTAGGATCATGCTCAAGCATATTTAAGTGGCTTCTGTGCAGAAGGGAAATAGGACACAAATTAAAAATAATCTTTATATGAAAGAGGCTAATGCTGAACTCAATCATTTTTTGGTTCCAATCTTCCAAGAGAATGGTTGCAGATAGAGAAAGTTAGAACTTAATATGAAAAACATTATCTTAGTTACACTTGTACTATTCGAAACGCACCAATGACAAAATACGGATTTTAATGTGGTTATCTTTTTAATTCAACTAATTGAAAAGGTCAAATTACCATATCTAGGTTTTCCTGCCCAGTGCATATCTGGTCGCTGGACAACAATTCCATCGCATCCCTTTGGTAAGCCTATGGTAAAAAAAAAAGAAGAAAAAGGAATGAAAAAAGCATAATGCTTTGTGCCAGTTAATTCAACCTAGCAATCATTCTACTTGCCTGTTCGCCATAAACATCTTCAGGTTTTTGCTCATTGAACAGATAAGAGTCATCGAATTGCTCGTCACATACAGCACTTGAAGGATCAGCTGTTGTCAGGGATTTATCTTCCGTACAATTGAATGCGGAGAGGTCATCCAGGATACCATAATCAGAATACGAGGATTCAAACCCTGGTTGCATAGCAACATCAGAAGAGTACATGGCATCTGAAGAAGGAATCCATGACAGTTCATCCGTGTTCGGAAGTTGCTGCTGACCGTACGTGGAATCACACCTCCTTCCAGGAAAACAATGTATATTAGAAGGATAGCATTGTGTTTTTACTACCAATTAAAGTTAATCTGTCTCAAGACTTTAGAAGCTAGCAAGGGAAACATTCTGAATACCTGAATAAGTTGTCGACGTCCTCAAAATTATCAATAGCAGGCCAATCAATGTAGGTTAGATCATTATCTCCATAGCCATGACCAGTTTGTGGAGTACTCTGATTATTGAGAACAGGTGAACCATCATTGCTCAGAGCAAACTGAGAACTGTTCCAATTGTCTGTTGGATATCTTGTTTCAGAGATAGTATTCAAGGGAAAATCATTTGATTCAACTTTGCAGTTTTCTATGTGATCATGGTTGACATCCCGGGATACTATCCCATTAGCTGAATGGATTTGCTCTGAATTACATTTCTGCGAATCTGAATCAATCACTCCAGAGATGTCAACATGGGGTTTTTTTTCACTGTCAACCCGATGCTTCGACTTCTTGCTGGATATACTCACAGTCCCGGCTCCATTTTCATGTTCGCTATTATTGCTCCGAGCAAATCCATCCTTGAGCTTACCTTCAAACTGAAGAAGCTACATGTTATGTATTTGAAAGGGGAAAAAGGACTAAAGTCTACATGTCATGGGGCTAATACATGAAAAATCAGTGCAATGATAAGAGAAACAAGAGAGCATCCAAGGTTCAATGCAACAAAAATGATTGACTGGGTTTGATTCCTGGCGGAATTCAATATAGACTAGGTTTGATCCATGACAGAATTCAATATCTGGTTGGATTGCCTAGTAGGATTGCCCTATCTTTGCCTACGAATTTAACTCACTATTTCTGTAGGAGTGAAGGGTATACGCTAATCAAACACCAATTGTATTATATTACTTGTCAACTCTGCTTCAACCAAATAGAACTATCCCCTGATTGACACTTGGTACCTTTGACGAGGGGCTATCTATCCCACTAACAGCACTCATCTATCCATGACAAAAAGAATTTCAGCTCTACTTGGGTGGCTAGCACACTTGGATGCAAATGAAAATTAACACTTAACAAAGAGAATTGTTACACGAGATCCACATGTCCTCTTTTCTTTGGATCACCAGCTTATCAACAAAAGAAAAGCTAATTGACACCTAACAGTAAACAATTTAAGTTAACCAATAACAGGGAAAAGACTTCAAGTAAAACCATTAGTTACTGTTGAATCCAAAATTAGCTTTAACTCAGAATATACTGGTATATTCGATGTACAACAGATGTCAGCATATATACAGTATTCTATTTCTACCAGGATTAGTAAAACCAATTTGGCAGACTAAAAGGGGAATAAAGAAACTGAGCAGACTAATTTCTCGACATGTACCACTTGGAAGTCCATATTCCTCAAAAGAGAACCGAGTATAATTCCCTAGACGTATTCTCTTTTCATTTTTGTTTTACTTCATGCCAGAAATATCCACTGTAATTTACCTTAATGTTTTGAATTTTCTTCCTGAGCTAGATCAATCATATAAGAATTATCACCATGCCATATGCCCATATACAATCAAGAAGGCAAGAAAATGATTAATTTTCTTATTGAAAAAAAAAAGAGATTACCTCGCCCACCCTCCAATCTGGCATCACTACAAATTCTATCCGGGACCGAAACTGTACCAATTCACCGGATTTGATATCATATTCAACTCAGGATCCCCAGTTCTTGATCAATCCTGCAAATCAGAGAGGTAAAAAAGTGATTATAGTAATCTGCGAACTAAAAAGTATGTAAATTAAACAAAAAAAATCATGTTTTTCAATCAGATTAGTATGAATAGTTTTTGAATAAAAATAAAAAACAAGTCAATCCCAGAGGACGTTTGACTAGGTCAAATGATAAGAAAAGCAAAGGCAAATTCCTCATCGTATGCCATGAACAAGTAAATAAACCTACGGAAACTTTTCCGAGATGAACCAAAAACAGGCAAAGCAACAACTACTGAACCTGCGAGACAGCGAGAAGAAGAGGGAACTGAGAACGAATTAACTCACCTTCCCAATTCCAAACGCTCTGGATCAAAACCCTGCAAGGTAAGAAGCAAAAGAGAATCAAATTCCAAATCCCAGAATTAGAAGCAACTTCTGATGGACCTCCAGAAAGAAAAAAGAAACAAAAAAAATTCAACACATGGAAGAGATCCAAATCCAACTGTTCTTCCGCGAAAAGAAAAAAATAAATCAACCAAGAAATTACACCGACAAAACACGAAAAAACAAGAAATTAACACCAGCAAAAAACGAAAAGCCGAAGCAAAAGCCACAGAAGTACAGAACGACGGACCTCGAGAGCAAGATCAGAACATCAAATCCAAATCCCCACCCCCACCACAACGAACTAAAACCATCTCTTCAACATCCGAGGCCGAACACCACCAAACCACACCGAACACAAGGACACAAACACACAAGGAGTAATCGAAATTTCTCACCCAAAAAATTTAAAAAAAATCCCCGAAACGAAACGAGCGCTTCCGCGCTTAGCAAGGAAGGAAGAAGACGAAGCGGAAGAGAAAGCGAACGAACCGAGAGCTCCCAAAGCTGGCGCCGCCTCTGCTCTGCTCTGCTCTGCTCCTCGGGGTCTCCTGTTCGCGCGGTCTCTAGAGGCTTCCAGGGATTTCTCCTGCGAATTTCCTTTTTTTTTTCTTTTCTCTCTCCTCCTCGCGATTAAATTTCCTGATTTTTTTTTGAAGAGAGAATAGGAGAGATGGGTGGGTCGATGGGATGAGGGCGTGGAGTGCAAGTAGTAGTAGTAGCCAGCAAGTAAAAGAATAAAAAAATAAAAATGGTGGAGTACTAGTAGTAATTGGGGAGGGGGAGAGCTAGCGGCTGGGAGGGGGCGAGGTGGGCCCGGGGGCTGTGGGGAAGTAGTGGACGCGAGCGCCCGGCGCGATCCGATCAGTTGCTCGCCCCGGATTGGCCCCCCGGCCGCGGCCCCACAGCCGAAGCGTGGGGCCCACGCGTCAGTCGGATGGTTCTCGAAGCCGACTAGGCGAGCGCCAAGGCACGTGATGCCGTGGCCCGCTTGCCCACACCCAACGACTTTTCTTCTTACTTTTTTTCCGCTCTCCGGTGCGGTTTTTGGCTTGGTTTGGTGAGGTAGGCACTGGTTTTTTTTTTCCCGCATTTTTCGTTCGGACGCGCCCCCGGCGTGGCGTCTCAGGACGATCAGGGTGCACCGGAGACTACGAATATCACCTCCGTCACACGTTATAGCAAAATAGTACCGAACAAAACATATTCTAGAATTACGTATGTATTACGTATCTATAGAAATATTATATTACTAAGATGTTTCTTATCCAGTACTACTCTTTTTTTTCAAAAAAAATTCAAATCCTAGCAATAAATCAAGACAAACATTTATTTGAGATTTGATTTTTTTAGAATGGTGCAGGTTGGAATATATTATATTATAGATAGAGTAGTTGTATTCCATTATCGATTTTCTTTTTATTCCTAGTTTTGGGTTTGAAAGAAGGCCTACACTAAAAGGCGTGCTCATTGGTGTGGCAAACGTGACCAAATCGTATGCTCTCATCGAGTAAAAAACACGTGATACTATAATTTTTTTAACCAAACTGTATGTTCTCCCTTTTTTCAGGAGGGGTGTATTGCTCGCGTGAGGGAAGAGGGCGGATGGACGACCGCGCTTTAAGGTAGTAGAGACAAAATGGAGACATTAAGTTGGCTTGGATGAAATGCGCTAACGTGCATACCACGTAGGCAATTCTACCGGCACATCATCGTACTCCCTCCATTCCAAATTGATATACATATTTCATAGGTACACCGAGACCAAGAAAAGCTAATAACTCTCTCATACTATATTTACTCTAGCAACCAGGGGCGGATCCAACGTGGGTGCAGGGGGGGAACTCGAGTCCCCCCTACACCCATAAGACCTATGGATACCCCACGGAGCAACCCTTCGATTTTTTTCACCATAAATGATAAACTAAAGATCTTTAGATGGCTAGAGATTGAAGAAACTGTGTAATTGAGCCCCTCCAATTTTTTGTTCCTGGATCCACCCCTGCTAGCAACAAACTCAATGCATGCACCATTCCCACTATTTCCTAGCCAATAGCAAATCAAGATATTGCATGTGGGTTATAAAAGCTTGTGTGCATGGATACATGCATCAATGTCCATTTACTCTAAGGCACAAATAACGAATAGACTTAATGAATGAACACAAATATGTAGATCATTTAGGAATAACATTAAAAAAATTATATGTAGATCAATTTGGAATGGATGGAGTACATAGCAAAACTACATAAAAAAAACCATAATATGACTATTAGTTTGAACTAGTTTTTCCATAGTTTTCCATAACCTAGGGTGTAATAGGCAATTTCATATATTTGAAGGGTTGATTAAGGTTGGTTTTAGCACATTACCATATTTTGAATCACTTCTAAGGTTTTTCTTTTATGAAAGTAGTAAGGATTTAGGTAAAATAATTCTATAAAATTATCATTAACTATCATTACATTGGAGATAGGATACGGATTGACACGGTTTAGTGAAGAACATTGGTATTGTGCTCTTTCTACTACTGTAAGACTGCATTCATTCTCCTACAGTCCTACCTAACACATCCCCAAAGAAAACTATCCCTCAAAAATTGCCCTAGTAGAAAACCAAGAAAGCCAAGGGGTTTTCTTAACCAAACCGCATACTCTCCTTTATTTTTCTTTTTTTACAGGAGGGGTGCACTGCTCACGTGACATGAGGGAGGAGGGCGGATGGTCAGCTACATTTTTAGGTAGTAGAGACAAAATGAAGACGTTGGGTTGGCTTGGATGAAATGCGCTAACGTGCATGCCACGTAGGCAATTTTACCATCACATCAAACCACGATATAGTTTTCCATACTTTAGGGTGTAAAAGCCAGTTTCATATTTCAGTTTAGAGGGTTGATTAGACTAACCCCTTAAAAACGACGTTTAAGGTTGGTTTTAGTGCATATCTACAATATTTTGAATCAACCTCCAAAGTTTTTCTTTAATGGAAGTAGCTAGGATCGAGGTAAATAATTCTATAAAATTATCATTAACGGCCGGGCATTAAATTGGAGGTAAGGATATGGATCGACATGGTTTAGTGAAGAACATTAGTATTGTAGTCTTTCTCTATTACTATAAAATCACATTCATTCTCCTACGGTCCTACCAAGCACGTCTCCAGAGAAAACTATCTCTCGGAAAACCGCCCCGTAGGAAACCAAGAACACTATTGGACAACAGTTGAGCAATGGGTTCTTTTTAACCAAACCGCATGCTCTGATTTCTTTTTCCTTTTTTCACGGGAGGGGTGCATGTACCGCTCACGTGACGTGAGGGAGGAGGGCGGATGGTCAGTTGCACTTTTAGGTAGTAGAGACAAAATGAAGACGTTGGGTTGGCTTGGATGAAATGCGCTAACGTGCATGCCACGTGAGTAATTCAACCATCGCATTATTGTACATACCAAAACTACATACAAAACCACGATATAACTATTAATTGCACCAAATTTCCATACTTTATGGTGTAATAGCTACTTTCATATTTTAATTTAGAGGGTTGATTAGACTAATCCCTTAAAAACTTGACGTTTAAGGTTGGTTTCAGTGCATGTCTACAAGAATTTGAATCAACCTTGAGTGTTTTAATTTTAGGGAAGTAGCTAGGATCGAGGTAAATAATTATATAAAATTATCCTTATTAGCCATTAGATTGGAGGTAAGGATATGAATATACATGGTTTAGTGAAGAACATTGGTATTGTGCTCTTTCTCTACTACTATAAAAGTGCATCCGTTCTCCTACGGTTCTGCATTTCTACCAAGCATATCCCCTGAGGAAACTATCCCTCGAAAAACTGTCCCATGGAAGACCAAGAACACTACTGGACAACTGTTTGCCAACGTGTTTTTTTTAACCAAACAGCGTGCTCTCATTTCTTTTTCTTTTTCTTTATTATGGGAGGGGTGCTAGTACTACTTAGGTGATGTGTGGGATGAGGGGCGGATGCTCGATTGCACTTTTAGGTAGTAAAGACAAAATGAAGACGTTGGGTTGGCTTGGATGAAATGCGCTAATGTGCATGCACGTATACAATTCTACCATCGCATCATCGTACATACCAAAACTATATAAAAACCACGATATGACTATTAGTTTGAACTAGTTTTCCATACTTTAGGGTGTAATAGCTAGCTTCATATTTTAATTTAGATGGTTGATTAGACTAACCCCTTAAAAAACTGGACGTTTAAGGCTTGTTTTAGCGCATATCTACAATTTTATGAATCAACCTCCAAAGTTTTTCTTTTATGGAAGTAGCTAGGATCGAGGTAAATAATTCTATAAAATTATCATTATCGGCCATTAGATTGGAGATAAGGATATGTATCGACATGGTTTAGTGAAGAACATTGTTATTGTGCTCTTTCTCTACTACTATAAAAGCACATTCATTCTCCTACCGTTCTACCATGCATGTTCCCTAGAGAAACTATCCCTTGAACAATTGTCCCGTAGAAGACCAAGAACACTACGGGACAACAGTTGGCTAACAAGTTTTTTATCCAAACCGCAATGCTCTCATTTCTTTTTCTTTTTTTTCATGGCAGGGGTGCACGTACTACTTAGGCCACGTGAGGGAGGGAGGCGGATGGTCAGCTGCACTTTTAGGGAGTAGAGACAAAAGGAAGATGTTGGGTTGACTTGGATGAAATACGCTAATGTGCTTGCTACGTAAGTAATTCTACCGTCGCATCATCGTACATACCAAAACTGTAGACAAAACTACAATATAACATTTGTTGCACTAGTTTTCCATATTTTAGGGTGTAATAGCCAGCTTTATATTTTAGAGAATTGATTAAACTGATCCCTTAAAAACTACTAGATTATTAAAGTTGGTTTTAGCATGTATCTACGATATTTTGAATCAACAACCAATGTTTTCTGTTTTATGAAACAATAACTAGGTTTGAGGTAAAATAATTCATCTAGAATTACGATTATCGGCTATTAGATTGGAGCAAGAATTTATGGATCAACGCGGTTTAGTGATGAACACTTGCTTCATGCTTTTTCGACATGACTATAAAAGTGTATTTGTCCCTAGCTACCAAGCACGCCACTAGAGAAAAACATCCAAAAAAAAAACCCTTCCTAAATAAACTGCCCTGTAGAAAACCAAGAAGGGACTACCGTTGATCATCTTCTCATAGACCCTGTTGCACAAGAAAGCCTAAAGCAGTCATGGTGTTTTCTATGCACAACAGCCCCGGTCAGCCAAATCGTTAGGTAAGAATATTTATAATTGCTTTTTTTCTTTCAATTACATGAAAAGATGTACGCTGTTGAATAATGAAAAACAAAGATTAATTCATAACCGCGCTAAATCCCTACTAAAAACTCACTCGCTTGCCGCATCTCGTATGTGCATTATAATATATATACGCCAGGAATTGAACAGGAGACGTTTCACTTTGTATTCACAGCTGCATTTTAGGCAACATACCAACCAATTTATTATTTGTCAACAGTACAGATCTGGCGTACACAATGAAAGGAGAGACACCAAAGCAACGGCATCTTCAGTCACAGAAATGAGAGCGCACACCATGTAGGCTGTTCCATTTGAGTATGTCACAGCAAAGTGACTGACCATACCAAACTACAACACCACAACAAATGTTATGCTAGGAGAGCATAGCCTGTCTTTACCCACATCAGCAGGAAACAAACTTTATGCCTAACCGTCGAAACAGGAAAGCAAACTGGCAGCTCAATCTGCTGATAGAACGACTCCTAGGGTTCATCCTAAAGAGGAAAACACGGACAGCGACGGTGTCCACCAGAATGCTAAACCAGCGCAATGCTGCTCTCGCCGCCAGGAGGCTTGCGGTTCCCGCTATGATACTCTCGGGTTGGCGCCTGTCCTTCCGCGAATATGTTGCTCCCAGTCATTTCTTTCAGCTTCGCGGTGCTCAGATGCTTCTCCGCAGAAGCAGGGGCCTCGTCTCCTTTGAATATGTTGTTGCCTGTGAGATCGGTGAATTTCTTGCCAGTTATCTTCTTTGCAGTTTTCGTCACGCTGTCAGTGTTGGCCTCCCCAAACGAGAAGCTGCTCACCTGTTTGAGGAGAACAGTTATTTGTTAGATTGCATTTCAGGACACATAAATCGAATGAAGGAACAAGCAGGTAGCAGTACATTTGCATTTCTCACAGGTGTGTGTGAGGCACCGGTGCCATTTGCTGTGTTCCTTGCCCCATTAGGCCTTACATCTTGAGGGTCAAAAAGGCCATGGCCACTGAGTTCCTTTGATTTTGCATTTGAAATCTGCTTCTTCATCTTACTGTCTGCTTCACTTTGCAGAGTACCGCTAAGCTCACGCTGCTTTGCTACCTCAGCCACTGAAGTTGGCTTTTTGGGAGGAACACTTCCATCCTCAGCAAATGAAATGTGGCTCACAGTAACTGGCTGCAGATATTAAAAAAAATGCTTTAATCTCCATATCGTTCATTATGGATTCATCTGATGTAATGCAGTAAACCTAAGTCATGTTAGACAATACTACTGCCCCTCCTTGGCTCCCCTTTATTGAAAAAATAATTATCAATTTTGCCCATACCGCAGATTCACTAAGTACATTCTATAGATAATAAAATTGTGAAGCGAGAAACGATGGCAGCAACAGCAACCCATAAAGAAAAACAAGGCTAGTAGTAATGTTCATTGTTGAACAAATTAACCCTACAGTAGGACATTTGGGAACTTTTACCATGTAATCAGACCAATACGTTGGCATGATGATATTTGACATTTGAAGTGGGTAGAGCAAAAATATAGTATAGAAAACGAAAAGCTAAGCAATTTTCAGTTCAAACAACTAACTACAACTTGGATTAATAGGTTTTGTTCAACCCATCAATCTGAACTAATTTGTTCCACAGAGAAGCTAAAATACGCATTAACAACGCCGCGAGCTTTTCTCATAACTTTCACGCTAACAAGCAACACAGCATTGCAAAATTATGCACCCATCATATGAAATCGTGTAATTTCCAACAATAATATCTACTCTAGCATTACTCTAGTGCAAGAGAGAAAACCCCCAATCTGGTGAATTCGCTCCATTGCATCTCCCTAGAGCGAGCGAGCAAGCAAGCAAGCACCTGGTAATTGCGCGGGGCGGCGCGGCCGGGCGCGGCGGCGCTGCCGGGCTCCTCCGCCTCCCCGTCGGCGCCGGCCGCGAAGATGCCGCTCCCGGTCATCTCCTTCCACTTGGGCGCGGAGCATGGCTTCCTGAGAAAACACACACAAACACACAACCAACCAATCAATCGATCAATCCAAGCCGAGAAAGTAAGCGCGCAGGTCGGGATCACGCTTGATCTGGATCAAGACGACGACGACCACCACCTCCACCTCGGATCCCCCATTTCCTTACCTCTTGTTGAGGCTCTCGGCCTCCTCCTCCGTGACCTGGCCACCGAACACCACCTTCCTCAGCGCCTCCGATGGCTGCAAATCCGAGATGCGTGAGCTCAACCAAAAAAAAAAAAAAGAAGAAGGTCATCGGTGTGGAGGGGAAACCTGGTGGGGGCGGCGAGCGGGGGAGGGGGTGGAGGCGGCGTGGCCGTCGGGCTGGTGCTGCTGCTGCGGCCAGGCGAGGAGGTCGGCCGTCGAGGTGTGGGACTTCCTCACCGGCGCCGGCCGCTCCATCTCCTCTCCTCTCCTCGCGCTTTCTCTCTCTAGGCTCTACTAGACTATAGGCGTTGTTGTTTGTTGGTGCTATTTCTCTCTCTAGAAAGGGAGGTGGTGCGTGCGTGAGACTCGTGAGGTGAAGTAGTAGTAGTTAGGTGGTGTTTTGATCCAGGGACTTAACTTTAGTCTCTGTCTTTAGACACTAATTTAGAGTATTAAATATAGACTACTTACAAAACTAATTACATAAATAAAAGCTAATTCACGAGATAAATTTTTTAAGCCTAATTAATCTATAATTAGAGAATGTTTACTGTAGCATCACATAGGCTAACCATGGATTAATTAGGCTCATTAGATTCGTCTCGCAAATTAGTCTAAGATTATGGATGGGTTTTATTAATAGTCTACGTTTAATATTTATAATTAATTTTTAAACATCCGATGTGATAGGGACTTAAAAGTTTTAGTCCCATCTATACAGGGCCTTAGTAGTGTGATGGGCTGGAGCTGGAGGAGGAGGGTGAGGTCTAGTCTAGTCCATACGCGTGGCTACTGTAATTACTGCCCACTGACAGGTGGGGTCAGGTGTTCTTTCTTTTTTTTTCTTCTCCCAGTGCCGGTGGGACGGGGAGTGTACCGGGGGTGAAAAATGGGGTGCTGTAGCACATCGCGCACGGGCTTCACGTACACAGACGGCCAACCAGATCAGTGAAAGCACTGTAGTTGGTTGGTTCGTTCGCTTGTTTAACGCCGTCTTTAGTTCCCAAATATTTCTTCAAACTTCTAACTTTTTTATCATATCAAAATTTTCCTATACACAAACTTTCAACTTTTTCATTACATCGTTTCAATTTCAAATAAACTTTTAATTTAAGTGTGAACTAAACACAGCCTAAGTATAGTACTACATGCCCCATTGTTTGGTTTTTTTCCCTATTAGGGAATAAAAATAAATTTGTATGTAAAATTTTTATATGTGTTACTGGTAACTTGAAAGTCAATACTAAAAAAGAAATTACGTTGAAAATATCTCAAAATTAAACTTAAAATTAATTTTGAAAATTTAAAATTGGTTTTTTCTTTGGCTTATTAGGCCATTCGATGGGAGCCTACATATAAAATAGGTGCACTTTGTGACTAGTAATAGTTTTATAGAGTGGTACTGTATTTTCACATTTTTTTCCTATGCTATTTTAAAAGATAGGGGTGGTAAACTGGTAATGGTGAGCCTGCCTTCACTACTATTAACTGATATACTGTATGAGATAATTAGGTCGGTGCTCCTTGAAGAAATGCTCTGCTCGCTCTCAACAGTTTCTTGGCCATACAGTCACAACGAGTGTCTACTTGAACTGGCATACAATTCAAAAATCATTATTGTGTCTATTGTTATAGCTTAATGTTGGTTGGTATTAGTAACCTTGAGTGATATTTTAATTATCAACAAGAAAATCAGTGCGCTTATTGGCGTGCCTGCTATATGGCTTATCTTATATGCCCATTAGTCAATTGCATATACATATATTTAGTAAAATAAATTGATTTTATAATTTGCTTCAAGAGTATTACTATTTCAAAGAATCTCTTAATGTGAGTTTAGCTTTCAATGTAACCAATATCTGAAATATGTTCTATTTTGAGGGAAAAAACCATAATATTTTTTTCTAATGTTACTTTTCCTTATCTATTTATTTTTCTGATAGTGGCCAAAAGATGGCAAATAAATAAAGATATGTTTAGTAGATACTTTATCATATTACTGAGCTGGTTGGTTATTGGAAGAACCAAAGTAGTTGTTCAAATGTTAGAAGGCTCTCGATTTCTCCATTTTAGTTTATTACTTGAGAATGTTCTACATTTCCAAAATTGTTTGTTTAATAGAATGGCTCACTTTTATTTTAGGGGAAAATCTGGGTTTTTTTTTGGAGAGATCAGTTTTTTTCTACCTATTTCCGGTTTAGGAAATAAAAATAAATTTTTGAGGACAGCCCGTTATTTTGTTTCAATCCTCGTGAATTGGTAGTAGGTGACGTGAGTTTGGGGGAGTTGGTTGGATAACGCTAAATTTGGTAGCACCCCCTATCAGCAGATGCATGAACGATAAAAAGGATTCAGCTGTTGTCGTGGAACATCATGTGTGTTTGTTTGTACTGTAGTTTGACTCGGAGGGTGGAGGATCCCACTCACTCTGCGTACGACGCGACGAGCGGTTGGGATTCGCCGCGGAAACGCGAGCGCGACACATCAGCGTCCGTCCGATCCGGACCGACCAACCGGCCCGCGGCCGCCAGTGGTCCAGCCGCGTACGGGCCTTCGGGCCCTTGGGCCAAATGGTGGCCTTCCTCTGGCACGCCACGTCCCGTCAGGCCCACTAACATGGGGCCCATCCCTGTAGCGACCGGGCCCGATGCAGGGGGGCTCACTACCGGCGTGCAGGCCCAGGAATAAGCCGGTCTCGGATCAGAAAATGATCGGAGAACTACCATCTACCTCCAACATTTAATATGCCCGTCTCCAACATTTAATATGCCCGTGCTAAACGCTACGGTCTAATTGTATTATCTTTAATAACTTTTAAATTTTCATGTTAGAAAAAAAAAGTGTCTTCTATGATATAGATATGAGCAATTGAGCTTTAACTCAATTTATATCGTACATCAGATATATTTCATGCAAAATACAGTAATATAATATTGTGCATCATATTACAATGATGTGTACATCAATAAAGGAATAACCACTTTTCATAATATGATTCACATGTCTAAAGGTATTTCTATGCATTAAAAGAGCTAACCGTTCAACATGTTCGTTTTAGAACCTTTTCTATTCAGAACTTCAAAGTGGAAGGATATGATCACATCAACATAAATGTTACTCCCTCCAATCCTCAATCCTATTTTAAGTGCGGCCATACTTTTATGTGCTTAACTTTGATTGTCCGTCTTATTTGAATATTTTTTAAAAATATTTAAAAAATAAGTCACGCATAAAATACTATTTATGTTTTGTCATCTCATAATAACAAAAATACTAATTATAAAATATTTTCAAATAAGACGAACGATTAAAGTTGAGTATGGAAACTCATGGTTGCACTTGAAATGGGACGGGGGAGTAGAAAAATTCGTTTAAAACCAAATGAATGTGGGTGATGTACCTCATGCTTACTTAGAAAACCTAAACTGATCCATGGATAGTGATGATATATACATGACACTGACTATTTTCATTGACATGCTGTACAAATATGGTTTCAGACATAAAAGCAAAGGATTTATAACTCAATTCATTTCCTAAATTGGATACATCATGCAATCAAATTTGGAAATTCAGTTCTTAATTCATCTCCCAAATTATTACAACAAAACAGGCTGCAATTATTACACATTTTACCTCTACATATAGCTTCCATTGATCTAAAAACAGAATATTCCACCATAATTTTCATTCACCACACGTAGCAATAGAGAAATAAAATTGCACTACCGGGCACGAAGGAACGTGTTCTGCAGTGCAATCAGTCTCATGGCATATATGGCCTTCCCTTGTAGTTTTGACAGAGAGAGAAAAAACTGATAGAAACTCAATCGAAACCAATTGGAGAATCAGAGTAACTATGCGAAAGTACAGAATAGTAGATGTATCATGTATTTGTTGGAGAAGACAACAATTTATTAACTGATCAGTTTGTCAGTGATGGTGAAGATGGCGGAACCTCACCTAAGAGATGTCGGTGACGGTGAAGATGGCGGCCGCGGCAACACCGTTGGTCAGCATGGGCCATGCCTCAATCGGTCGATCGATATAAGCTAGTGCATGTTCGTAATTTCACACTTTTAGACTTTAAAACCAAAGTTCAGACTTTCAGAGTTACATTTGTCGATGAATCCAAAGGTTTAGACTTTCAGAATCGTAGCCATGGTAACTTATAACTTAAACTGTCTTATCATGTGCTTCCATGTATGCACATTTACATTCTGAAATTTTAACTTAGCTATATACATATTCTGTAATATATACCATATGCTGAATCTGAAATAACAACATCTGTTTTATGCAAGTATTCATTAAAAAAAATTATGCACAATATTGTACAACATACCAGACTACCCAAGCAAAATTAAATGATTTTCCTTGTCAATTTGACTATATCACAAATATACTTCATACATTAATTTCACATACATTAATTTCACAGGATAGATAAACATTGTACAGAGCCGAAAGTACAAATTTATTCCATTAGTGCTTAGTGCTTAAAAAATCCAACTTGAAATCTCATTAAATTAGTGCAGTTATGAACAGCGAAAGCTTGATTAAAATAAACAGAAAAGCAGTGGTCAGTCGACCTTATTTCTTCCCCAAAATCCATATACTGCTAAAAAAATTCAGTAGACGATTGGCACCAAATGAATTAGCTCTAATCAATTGGCAAACTCATAAACAAAGAATGGCCATATCTCCCCATGAAACCATATATAATAATACAAATCAAATAAAAAATATATGTTTTAACAACCGACATAAAATGAGATAGATTTATGATTCAGGAAAAAAAGAAACTGTTTAATATATTGCTAATTCTTTTACCTTCAATGATGAGGAGGAACTACGGACGTCAACTGGAAATAACAGGATATAGGCATAGGAGGTATCCGATCGGTGTGGTCATGCACGGCAGATCACTGCTGCCGATGTTGTGCATAAATGTTGACTTTTCCCTAACAAAGCAAGTTACAGTTAATTTATAAATAACAACTCACTTTGAAACCAAAACAAAATACATATCTTCCTCATTTTCAACCATTAAGGCATAATTGTAACTTAGAAGTCTGAATTGTCCCTCTATCTATCAACCAATTGAAAGGGGAAAAGAATGGACCTACAGTCAGAAAAAGTTCTGTTCTAGCCTTATTTCCTTTTGCTCTGCACTAATTGAAGCTACCTTGCCCTGAACTGATTTGTCATGCCGACTGCGCTTCAATTAGCAAGATGGTATGACAACATAGAAAAAGTGAAGCCTGTTCCTGTCAACCTGAGACTATTTTAAAGGTGGTATGATAACATAGAAAAAGGCTAGACCTTAATCAGCATTGATCAGCTCATTTCCAAAATGCTGTGGTAATAGCTTGTGAGAAATCAAGCTACTCCAAAAGGTGCGTACAGGTGATATTCACCAGTCTAGCACACATCAGTAGAAAAGTACCTGAGTCCTTAGCGTATTTCAATTGAAAGGCATCGATGCAGGTTCCTGCTCGTTGGAGAGGCCGAGGGGAGAGGGCCAATCTCCGTGGGTACGTTGTCGCCATGAAGGCTGATTTCCGGGCAGCCCATCCTCTCCACAACAAGGAGGTGCAGGTCAGCCATGTTCAGCACTGCGAGACCATGGTCGCCGCCGATGCCCTCGCGTTCCACGTGCAGCCCAAGAGGCACGCCGTAGCTACCGATGGAGACAAGCAGATTCAATGCAAAGCATCAACCAGCGCAGAGACGTTGTGTCCGCGACGAAATCTTGCCGTAGACGTCGGATGCACGCGGAGGCAGCGCCGGAAGTCAGCGACGACTGACTCTCGCCATGGATTTCACATGAGCACGGTAAGCGGAGTCAGCGATGGAAGTCGGTAGCACCCAGTTTCCCCGCTTCCATCCCCCAGCATCTGCTTTGGCCGGATGACAGCACCGGAGGTGTGAAATGCCGGTGGTGGACCTGCGAGGCGGTGCGCGAAAAGACGGGGTCGGCAGGTCGAAGCGATGATGGAGGACCGATGCAACGGCAGTGGCAGCTCTTGTGGCGGGCGTGGCGATGCGAGAGCAGATCTGGGAGAGGGAGAGAGAGAGGGGTTGCGCTAGGTCCTAGCGGCGGAGCGAATCGTCAGCGGAGAGGCCTGTGCGACGGCGATTTGACGGAGGGCGAAGGGCGGCGCGGGATGGGGGGTGCGAGGGCAGCGGTTGGCGATTTGGCAGAGGGCGAAGGGCGACATGCCATGTAAAAGGAAAGAAAACCGACTGTTGATCCCGCATACGCGATTTTCCGGCTGATGACCCCGCGTGCTACGTCGTTGATTCTGATGCGTTGGATCTGAGAGAGATGATCTAAACTGTTGAGTGAGGAATGAAAGAATGAGTGATGAGTGAATGCGTGAAACCATTTGTTGAACTATAGGGTAGATGATTCTGATGCGTTGGATCTGAGAGAGATGATCTAAACCGTTGAGTGAGGAATGAAAGAATGAGTGATGAGTGAAACCATTTGTTGAACTATAGGGTAGATTCAACATCAGCAGGGCAATAAACAAAATCTGCTCCACCTGAACTTAATTCATTAATAGAATAGATCTAATCCGAAAATCGCCTACATTGAACTAATTATATGTTTTCGGGGGATAAATTGTCAGCTCTGGAGGAAATTAAATTAGCACTTGGTTTCCTAACATGATTTGATTTACCTATGGGCTTCGAACAAGATGAAAAGAACAATGATTTCACAGGATTTCCAAGAACCGCATCAAAAAAACAAATAATCCTTACCCCCAGATTCCAGGCAACTTGGTAGTCCTGCCAAAAGAGATCCTTGTAAATTGCAACCTGAAATTTATCGGATCTGAAAAATAAGAATGCTAATATTAGCCATGAAACAAGATTTCCAATATGGCGCATAAAAATATATATAATATCTGATGTAATTCGGTAATTCTACTGATAAGAAACTATATATGGAGGTGGAAACACTTCCACTGATACTACTCTTGTAGCGTTGGGGGCTGGAATTAGAAGCACAGCTAATCGTATATATACAGGCAAACCCGATGACGACAAACATGTAATTTTGAGTAGCAGAAACAAAGTCAAACCATCAAAACAAATGATCGCTGGCCATATGAAGATATGATCCCCAGATAAAACAGCTCCTAATTAAATACTGAAAATTAACATTTCTTCTAAGATTTTTAATCCAATCGAGGATAAACCAAGAAGAGGAAGGAGCTTCCTGTACACGTTGGAGAGGGTCCCACCAATCTAACGCAAGAAAGAAACCTGCAGGCAAAACAACCTCCATGATTTAGACTGCCCTGAGCGATCCCATTCCCATTTGCACCAGGGACAGAGCTGTTGTTTGCAATTTGCAAACGCACAAAAATAAAATCAATAACATGCAGCCATGCATAATCAGCACGAATTGACAGATGAACGGAGAGGCGGAGAGGAAGCAAACCTGCATCACGGTGAATAACTCACCAAAGCCAAGGAACCTTTACATCCTATTCTCCCCAACCTCTGTGCCAGCACGAGCAGGGCGCGACGCCGTCCCCGTTGCAAATCCCGCCGCCAGATCCACGTAGCAGGAGCGGCAACGACGGGCGGCTGGGTAGCGCAGGGCCTTGAGGCTGGCTACTGGCAGGAGAATGGAGGTGGCGCGGAGGAGATCGTGAGGAGGGCGAGGGGAGCGCGGAGGATTAGGGGTTTACGGCGGGCGCAGGGGGTGGGGGGAGCGGCACAGACGAGAGCGAGAGGCGCGGGTGTTCCGGCGGCGCGGATCGGTGGCGTCGCTGGCTTGGGTGTTGCGGCGGCGCGGACATTGGCGCGCTGGTGGAGATCGAGGGCGCTGCGCCGACGATAGTGAAGGGAGTGCTCGGTGGCTGAGATGGGATATAGAGGGGAGCGATGGGAGAGAGATACGGCGGAGATCGCGATCCGGGGTGGGCGTTGCCGCAGAGAGAAGGGAGGTGGGAGCGACGTGGTGCGTTGGATCTGAGCGGGATGATCTTGACCGATAAAAATGAGGATGTAACATACAGTCGGTGAATTATATGCTAGAATATACCATACATGTTTACTTCTCGAAAACGAAACTGAAAATGCTATGGCTGGAAAGAAAATGGTACACCCACTCCTTCCATATTAAGATATTTTAGGTTTGCCTTTTAAGTCAGATTTCCTCAATTTTCATCAAAAGAGATGGTCTCTTTTTCTCGAAAGACTAATTTAACATGATCTTTAAGATACTACTCTGACAATGATATTTATGAAAATAAGTAGCTTTGAATGAAAAAAGATTTGTGTATTATAATAGTTTGTTTAATAATAAATCCAGCAACATCATTCTTACATGATTATCTTTTCTATTAATAGCCAAAAGTTTAAAATGTTTGACTTACCACTATTCTAAAAGTGATTATATTTTAGAACGGCGGAAGCAGTAACATATACAACGCCAATTTAGTTTCGTTGAATCTACCGTTAAATATATTTTTGAGTAAAGTGTATGGCTAATCTCTACACTTATGTGCTTGTGTCGTATACATCCCCAAACCCTTAAATACAGATCAAGATACTAAAATTTGTTAACATATGTTATTTCAGTCCAAAATTGCTATGCGACCTCTCCGAAATCCTACGTGGCATGCCACATATATGCTAATGTCGCATCATCACCATTCCTGTACGGATTGACAAATGGTGCCACTCCGATTTTTTTTCTTCTTTTCTTTTTTTCCTTTTTTTTTTTTCTTTTTTCATTTTTCTCTTCTTCCGCTCAAGGTTGCCGTGGGCTGTTGAGGCCACAGGACTTACGGCGATGCAAGGACGGGAGCACAGTGGAACAAGGAGGCTAAGCCATCCTGCGTCCTGCCTGGCCCAGCCAACTTCGCCAGGCAAAAAAAAAAAAGGTAAAGAAAAACTAACAAGATTGCGAAAACAAAATGATGCGATGAATCGCAAGGGAAACTATAAAACAATTGATTTTGGAAAAAAAATATTAATAGAATAGAATATTTTTTGACGTAAATAGAATGGAATAATAAACACGTGATAGTTAAAAGATATCTAAAAACATCAATTTCAATGGAAAAAAAAGGGAAGATTGAATTCATTAAAAACTTACCTGCCAACGCCGTATCTATCGATTGTATAAGGGATAAAGCGCCGCTATATCACAATACGAAACGAAAATCAAAACTTGATACATAAGCTGAGAAAAGAAAAACAAATTTGACTAATTTGTGTTAAAGTGTAGCTAGAACTGCGACTTGTTACGAAGACCGCGCTTAGCGCGGGTGGCAGGAGCCAGTGGCTCGTTCCGTGCCGACCAGCGGTCAAGTCTTAGACTCGACGCTCGTTCCTCGCTCAGGGGAATTTTTCCCCTCTTTTACTCGGGACTGATTCGGTTGGTCCCAGCTCCCTAATAGGGCACACACACGAAGTTGGTCCCGGCTAGCTAATAGGGTACACATACGCGTGCGCGTTTAGTGGGACTGTATGTTTCTCGTGCACTATGTTAGTGTGCGTCCTGAGTTGTACCCTGCAAATGCTAGAATCTATCTAGACGGAGGAAGTAATAATTTGGTATGCGTGCCAAATGGCGCGTCGTTTACACGGTAATCTTGTACAGAGAAGATCAAAATGTCTGCGAAAAGGCAATTTCAGCCTACTCAACTTAAATTCAGGCCCATGAGGCAAATTGCAGGTCCAAAGAACTTTCAACCCATAAAGTCCACTTTGACTTTCTTAACTAGCACTAGTGGCCGAATCTATCCTTAACCAGATATCTTACGCCCAACTATTAAAATCGGTGTAATTTAACTTTCTCGACGGTTTTGGACGGTGGTTTTGCTGCCATGACACCTACGTGGTGGTGTTGACCTGGTCATCACTGAATGTGGCGCTTATATGACATTAGAATAGAAAAAAAAATGTGGGACTCATTTCTCATTCACACAACCTCCCCTTCCCTTCTCTACTCCGTCTATCTCTACCCCATGTTTTCTCACGCGGCAAAACAAGGGGTGCACGGTGTGGTGGACATGACGATTCTGGCGGCGAGGTGGACAGCGGCCGTGGTGGGGAGGGAGCGAGCCGGGGCGCCGTGGTGACGCCCACCTCCTACGTGGCGATAGCTGCGGGGAATGAGTGAGCGAGCCGGGCGCCGCAGTGATGCCCAACTCTTGCGCGGGACGGTTTCGGCTGACAGCGGCGGAGACGGCGATGGCGCGACGAAAGGCGTTGGGGGAGATGGGGTGCACGCTCCCAACCGCCGCTCCTCCTTCCCGCTCCACTTCATGGGCGGCGAGGTAGGCGGCGGCCATAGTGGGGAGGGAGTGAGCCGGGCACCACGGTGACGTCGACCTCCTGTGCAGCTTGCGTCGGGCGGTGTCCGGCGGGACAATTTTGGCGGTGGAGACGGCGATGGCGCTACGGAGGCGTCGGAGAAGATGGCGAGCATGCTCCCAGCTGCCGCTCCCCGTCCTCGCTCCATGTTGTGGGCGGCGTTGGGCCGCGGCTGTGGTGGCGACGGCGAGTTGAGCAGTGGCCGCAACCATAAGGGAGCAAGACAGGGAGGAAAGAGGAGCGAGCTGAGCACCATGGATGTATTGACCAGGCGGAGCCGCGGCTGGGCAGCCCCGATGCATGGCTGCGGACCGGCCTTGAGCAGAGTGGCGGTGACCTGCCATGAGGCAGAGCAACGGCGCTAGCGCCTCCTACCTATGTTGCCGGCGAAGAGAGGAGGAGTGAGAAGAGAGAAGAAAGAGAAGGAAAAAAATGAGTTACTACCATATGAGCCTCACATATTGAGTCAGCCGGTCAAACTAAGTCAAAGCGCCATGTAACCGAAACCGCTCTCCAAAACCATATAGAAAGTCAAATTGCACCGGTTTTAATAGTTGGGGGTCGAGATATCCGTTATTGCGGTTCAAGATAGGAATCAGATTAGAGCTATAGTTGAGGGACTGAAAGTGAACTTATTCCTATGAAGAACAAGTGGACAATAAGAATTCAGCCTACCTTATTCAGGCCCATCAAGAAAACGTAGTCCTGAAACGAAATTCGACCCAAAACCTCATATACAATGAACAAAGTGATCTTTGGTGTCTGCTAAAGTGAACTTGTGATATATTTCCAGTGCTATATATAAAACTAAAATCGTGATTTTTCTGATGCTCTAGAACTAATTTCATCAAAATAAAAAAATCAGCCAAATTATTGCACGATTTAATGTAGCTAGATTGTGGATTTGGACTTTTCCTGTTGCTCACTCTCCATCTCATAAAAAAAACTACTTGATTTTACCAAATTACGTACTGAAAAAAATAAAAAAAAATATCCCTTGTGTACTCCTTACCTATCTATCTTCAAATTCTATATTCCTATTAATGAAGGGATTTACTTATTTTCCTCTCAATACTTGTATTGGGATTTTATGAGCTTTTTCTTTTTCTTGACAGAGGTAGTAGTGCTAAAGTGCATAGTGTCCCAACAGAAGCAAGTCATGGCCATATTGCTATAGGTAGGTTAGTGTAGCAGCTTTACCCTTTGGAAGCATCGAGGGGCTACATCTTGTTTCGAGCTTCTACTTACGTTCTGTCGCCTTTAATTGGTGATTGATTTTGGTCGCAAAAACAATGGTAAACTCGAACAGTTAGGCTACATGAATGACAAAGGACATAGGCTTATCATCTGTGCAGTGCAAATTAAGAGAGGCTCAAAGCAAGAAAAAGCCTTCCCACTAGCTAGTCACTGTTAATTATAGTTGGCGTATATATCAAATACAAGATCCAATAAACAAACGACAAAATTAGCATCCCAATGTGTAGGAGATATCTATTCCCTGTAAATGAATTTCCATGAATTAATGGATGTTGTTGGATCGGAATAAGCATATATATCCGGTTGGAACATAGATTAAGTAATTATTCTATGGAAACTAGTCCGCGCATATACGCGGGCATGTGCGTAAAATTTTATTACGAATGTCATGTGTAGATGGTTTTCTATTAAAAATATTATTTTACTTTATCATAAACTAAAATTGAACTTATTTAACGTGCTTTGAACGTTGGTTACTTGCAATATATAAATTGTGAACTAACATTAATTCAAACCGTGTTGTTTTTAATTCATGAGAAAATTTTGTATCGAAACAATTGATGTGTTTCCTATAAATGTCCAATTCTTTTGTTAGATTTTATTTGAAATTTGAAATTTTTTATTTTTTTATCCTGCTAAAATGTTTGAATATTTCTATTTAGAATAGGTTATAAACCCAACAAAAAGAAATTTTAAATTAGATTTTTTTTTCAATTTTCATTTCATTTTATCTTCATTTTTTCTGGACAAATCCACTATATGAAGCATCTTTGAAATGCTTTGATCTCTGTAATTCGGGATGAAAATATAAGTGGGTTGATCCTAGAAGAGCTACTCGCTCTGTAGTGTTGGCACACAAGATAAGCACGCCGCCTAAAACCTGGCATGACATAAAAGCATCCATTCTAAATTATCTCACTCCAATTATGTAAGAAAATTTAAAATAGAGGCCATAGTATTTTCTTAGCAAATTACCACTGAACTGGAACGTCATGTATTAATTACGTTTCTAGATTGTTCCAAGCTATATGTCACAAATTCACGATGTACTGTAGCAAGTTTTACCAAAAAGTAAATGTATACGGTCTTTAAATTCCTATATGGAATTGGCTTATATATTGCTGAGGCCACATCATGGTTGTTTCACTCTTAAGATTCCTTGGTGCAACCAACGTACTTAGTACAATCAGTATGTTGTTCAACTGGCCACATGACTTCACAGATCATATATATAATTTAGATGCTATGATCATCTTAAGATTATTTATTTATCTCCTAAAATGATCATTTATTGATAAAAGCATCTATATGAAAATGTATGGGTAAATAGCTTCTGTATACAG